GGGCGCTAAACCTAACCCCCTTACAAGAAGCAATGGATAGTCTAATCATTAGACTTCGGATTAGAACTAGATTCAGGTTCTAAATTAGAAGATGAAGTGAATTGAACATGAGATAAAGGCGCGATGAGGACATTACCTGGGGGAGGGGTTCACATATTTTGGGCAGCGTAAAGGAAAACCTAAACCGTTTAAATCCTTTCTTTTAAGTTGTCCTCTACCACGAGTAGACAATGTTGTAGTTCTTTTTCATGCTTCTTTGTTATTTATTATATACTTATGAACATCATGAGATGACAATATAGAAAGACCTAAATCATCTTCGATGTCTAAAGAACTCGATCCACTTTCTCTTGATATGATAACTTGAATTTTTCAAGTTAAAAGGTCAAGATTGGGGAGGTATCACTAAAAGAAAACTTTGGTTTTGCGCCAGAATTAGCATCGGACTTATTTCCGGCGCAAACTTAACGATCGATTAGGCCGCGTGGTTTTGCTTCAAAAAAATTGACGCAGAAAAGTAGCGTCGAGTAGTAGACGCAAAGCCAATGCTATAGCACCCGATTAGCGTCCGCTATAGCCGACGCTAATCTCACTTATTAGTGTCGGTCATGATCGATGTTAATGTCCTAAAATAGCCTTCTCACGAACTACAGCTCGACTTCGCGCTCATTTCATTGCTTCGGAAATTCGGGTCCTATTCTCGCTCCAACCCCATCCAAGGTGAGAAATCTTCTTCCACACCTCCAAGCTTTGGTTTAGCATAAGTTTTCAACTTTTTTTTTCCTTGCATATGTGTTAGATCCAAAAATATATAGGTTTTGCTCAATGTTTTTTCGTGTTTCATTGTTCGGTATGCAATGCATATGAATTTCATAAATGCATATGAATTTCATATATGCAATGCATATGAATTTCATAGTTTTCCCTAAGTTTAGGTGTGAGATATGTAAATACATAATCAATTTGTGCTATGTATGAAAATTTTGGTGTGAGATATGTAAATGCATAAGAAAATCTAGTGTGAGATATGCAAATGCATAAGAAAATCGTGGTATGTAAATATGAAATTTGGGTGTGACATCTGTGAATGCATAAGAAATATTGTGCTATGTATGCTAATATAAAAGTTAAGAGCGAGATATGTAAATACATAAGAAAACTGTGGTATGTATGCTAAAATATGAAATTTAAGTGTGAGATATATGAATGCACCTAGCCAGGAACAGTGTGAAAACGTTGATTTTAGCGTTTTGAAAACAAAGCTTTTTGAAAAGACTACCAAAACGCAATTTACCCAAATGGACCTTGGTGCATTTTTAAAACGCACCGCACCAAATAAGTGGCTCCAAATGGGGCCTTAAGCACAGGCTCCTTCGCCACTCCCACCTTCCTCGCTTCTCCTTTACGTTGAACCACTCGAAGCTCCACAAAACTCCTCTGATTGCGACTTGATACAGCAACGCAACACTCGGCACCTCCGTCCCCCACTTTCGCCCTGCTCGACAGAGATATTATAGTTTGTCAATATCGTCACCTCCGACCACAGGGATGCCTTAATTGTGCTTGACTTCTCACTGCCCAACTCACTTGGTAAGTCTATCTCACCTCTAACTCCCCCGAGCAATTCTCTTTATAGGGAAACACTAACTTTCGGCTTCCCAATCTCATTTCCTTTGCACCCCGTTTCATTTGCCTGGCCCCCCAGTTCTTCTTTTTCGGTTTCTTAGACTCTTTGGTTCTTCTACTATGGGTAGATAAGACCAGGCATTACACAAGTCTTCCTCTTCCTTCCCCTTCTTCTACCGCTGCCGTTTCTTCTCCTTCTCTCGCCTCGTCGTTCTAAGCCTCCATCGCTTCGAATGGGATACTTCTCTTTAGAACGAAATTGTTAAGGTGTCTTTTCTTACTTGAAACGACTGCATTGATTGAAATTTCTAATAATAATAGTATTATTATTTTTAATTATTTTTTTTATTCATCTATTATTACACATTGTTCCGAGAGTTGAATGAATATAGTACATGAACCAATGAGATGAACATGAAAAAGGGATAAAGAAATTAAAAAAAATGAATTCATGGAAAGGAGGGAGGGATAAGAAAAAAAGAAGCAGCAAATACAAATCATAAAAGTGAAAAAATTCATAAAAGGAAGGTCATGGTAAATTTCTAACCGTAATTCATTATCTGATAATCCTCTAAAACATGATTAACACTCTTTAATAGACTCAGAACTGAAATGCTTACTTAAGCAAAAGACATTACCACTAGAAAGAAAGAAAACTATACGTCATTTATAGCATATATAATTGATAGAAATGGGGTACATTATGTCAAATGAAGTTCAATAAGCTCTATACAAACTTAAACAAAATAAAGGAGGCCTTTGGCATAGAAGTGAGATAATAATTCATGTTAAATGGGGTTGACATAAGTTTAGACATGATTTTCAACCAAAAGAGCAAGGAGGCAAAATAATTAGAGTTCCTATCAAGTTTGGAATTTACAAAACCAGTTCCATAGTTAAAGCTACCAAGGAGGACTTCTGGCCACTATTCAAGCTTGTTTGTGGACAAATCAAAACCAACTCCACAAACAAGCAAAGCAAGAAAATGATCAAACACAAATGCAAACCAAATTTCCTTAAAATTGTGAAGGTCGTTTAAGCAGAAACTTAAGTCAAACATCACAACTATCCACAATTTAACCCACCAAACTCAACCTCTCTCTTCAAGCCACCCAAATCTATGATGTAATATCTCAAAAAACATTCTCTTTAGTATTTTAGATAAATGTGAAATAAGTAAATGTGGTACCAAATAACTTATCAAGATAGATTGGATTTATCTTATCTTTCCTTCTTTTAAGGATAAATTTAAATTTATATGTATTTTTTATTTTTGTATTAACAGATTAAAAGGTTATAATTATAACTAGTAACGAGCTAGGAAATCAATTGAAATATAAATTCAATTCACTCAGCATTAGTCCCTCTCCTATTTTGTCTCTGTTCCTATCTCCTTCCAATACTATTCAATCTCTTAGTCCTAGAAGCCAAAAGGCTGCCAGATTCTTCTCCTTCTCTCTGTCTACTTGTACATAAAGTATGGCTACAGCAAGAATTCAGTAACTTGAAATCACAACCATTGACTGCACTTGTACAAGGAGGAAATTGAGACCTACAAAAATTGTTCGCATCTTTGCTTGTTTGTCGTATGGAAAACATTGAGGGAAAAGTTAAAAGAAGAAAGAATTGTATGCAAGAAAACCAATTATGGATTTGATGATCATTTTCCTGATAATCTCTTTCGCATGACCATATAATCCTTATTTAAGTCGGTTAATTCATTTGATCTCAAACTCTATGTTTTTGCAAGCCTTTTGAAAAAACTTAGAAATTTCTACTAGTTCCACAACATTCCATATCGTCATTATTTTTAAGTTAATTCAATATCATAATAAAATCAAATTTTGGCATCAGATTGGTTCTAGATTGAAAATTGTCATTTGCTTGATTAATGATTAAATCATCTTAAAAATTGATGAAATTTTCTCCACGCATAATTTTTATGTATACATTACAATAAATGATGTAACCATAAATTCAAAGATTATAAAAAATGGAAAGTGCAAGAAATCAATTAGGAGGAGAATAGTTGTTCTCCTGCTTAGAGGAGAAAAGCCCATTTCCTCCTTGGAGAGAGGAGAGTAGCTAATCTCCACCTAAAAAGGCTTTGACGTTATGATCTTCAGATGCATTATCAAAGACATCCATAAATGAATTTTGATTTTTGCAATCGTTTGATCATCAACCAGAAGAATAAAAAATTTCTCGATGAATGGTTCATTGCATGAGAAGATAATGGTGACTTCAAAGTGTTTATTTTTTAGTTTTGTCAGTAATAACTACATGAGTTCATTATAATTTTAGTATATACTAGATGGTTTTAATTGGTAAAATATATGATTTAAAATTTATCTTTTAAGAGAAACTCTATATGTTGCCCAACCATACCAATTTTTTTGCATACTTAATGAATAATTAGATTATTAAAAAGTTTTTGAAACATGGCCGACAATTAATTTTTATATTATAGATTGCAATCAATAGTGTCATTTTGAGTTCGTAGTCTATGTATAAAACTAGGAGGAGAAGTCAAAAGAAAAAATTCCATCTCATATCATCCAATTTGCTCACATTAGGCAATTCTTTACGAAGAACCACAATTTTAAAAACCTTTCACTTTAGCCACTAGTGCCCTTTAAGATTTCAAAACAACCCTCAGTATGGTATTTTGTCTTCATAAAAATCTATTTTGCTAGAGATGCTGAACGTTCGATTAATCTAATTCATGGAAATTTTTAATTTAAATTTAAATGAAATATTTTTAAGAATAAAATATCACTATTCTAAAATTTTTTTTCTCTTATTCCGGAGCTAGGTTATCCCTAGAATATCTATCCTAGCTTCATCGCTTGATAAAGGAGTTATAAAAGAGCTCTTTTAATCCCAAAATACCATTGCAAACATATAAGAGATCAAGATTCTTAATATGTTGTTGAAGTTTAGATGCTCACTCGGACAGCATTAAAGAAATGAAGAAAAAATAGACGTTGCGGGGCAGGAAGAGGGAGATGGGAATTTCTACATATTAACTCAATTAATCTTATTATATATAGACCAACATGAAGCACAAACAAAATGTCAGTGTGTATGTGTGAGTGCCAGCACTCATTATATTTGTATAATGTGTCTTTGTAGTGAAAGCTAAAAGGTTCTAATCCTTTGTTCTTGCTTGAAGTGATTATACAACAAAAAATGCATAGAAAGGCATAAATCATAAAAACATCTACATTATCATCCTTATAACTATGAAATCACTGGTAGGCAGATAACATATAAATTAAACAAGAATAAATGGATAATGAAACATCTAGAGAAGCAATTAGAAGAGAAGCATTTAGATAAGCTTAGCGTAAACAAAAATATGCATGGCTTACTTGATTTTCTAGGCGTAGCAGCACCAATGCGCATTGGTCTGCTGGAGCAATATACACCATTCATTTCAGTCATGGCAAGTGTTTTTTCATTATCATCTCCAAATCTCACAAATCCATAGCCTTTAGAGCGGCCAGTGTTTGCATCAATAACAACTTTAGCACCTTTTACGGATGTATATCTGGTAGCAAAAGTTTCTTGCAACATGGTATCTGTAACATCAGCAGTTAAATCACCTACAAATATTGAATAATCAGAGGTAGCATCTGAACGCCTGTCGCCCATGCTAAATGATGCCCAATTTAATCGAAAAGGGTGTTCTGCATTTGGCATTAAATGGCCATTGAATGTCTGCAACACCTTTTCAGCTGCAGCATGGGTACAAAATTCTACAAAACCATATCCCTCTGATTGCCCAGTTTGCTTATTTCGGATAACTTTAATAGCAACCACCTGCACAGGGTTCATAAAGATAAATAATTTATGAAAATCAAAGATGCAGCCAAAATAAGGGCATAATGTGTTTCTAAAGCTAAAATTCTCCCAAATGGGAACAAGATAGCCATTAACTTTATGTGAAGTTAATGATTGTTTACTATTCAATAAATAGTCGAGAAAGACATCATTTTCAGGCTAAACTAATGCTAAATAAAGAAAAGCATTATACATTGAAATAGCTTACATTATTCATCAAAACATCCTTTCCAAAAGATAACATCTCAAAACACTTTTGCTCAAATATAGACCTTAATTAAATCAAAAATATAAAACCGAGAATTATGAGCATCTAAAATGTTGCTTAACATTGATAACATCAGATGATGTTCACATAAAGTAACTCAAAGCTTGTAATTCATCAACACGACATTCATTAAAAATTGCAATAAAATTAGAGAAGGCAATATTTTCGAGGAAGAAGAAAAGTACAGGATCAGATGGTGTATGTTTGAAATGTTAATAAAAGAAATGGCAATAATAGTGGGTAGAAAGTTTAAAGATAAAGATATTGGTTGACTAGGATTAGTAATTGGGCAATTTCTATTAAGACAATTATCAACAAAGTTATTCATAAATGTGATAAGTGCTTATGCTAGAGTAGAAGTAGAAGACAGTTTAAAAGTTATTGAAAAGAGCTAAATGAAATACTACAATGCAATACTTGAAGTAGAAAGGATGTCAAATGTGAAGAGTTATGAGAGAATTTAAAATGAGTATGGAACAAGAGATATAAATATAAAGCGAGAAGCTATACTTAATTTTACAGTAGCATGTGGTCATGAAATAGCCAAATGCAAGTATTAAAAAACAAAAAAATCATCTAGTTACTTACAAAAGTGGAGCTAATAAATGACAAATTGACTTCCTTTTAGTTGAAAGATAACAAAATCTACTCGAAAAGTTGTAAGGTAATTCCAAGGGAAAGTTTGATCAAATAATATCTTATAAGTATGAAGAATACAATTAAAAAAAGTGCACTATCCTAAGGTGATGGAATTTAAAATGTATGAAATTATTAATTTTTCAAGATGGGATGCTAAGAGAACAAGGTACTTAAGGTGTCAAAAGATGGCTAGCTCTACCGAGAAGATTCTCATAGGAGTTTTAGTTAATCCTAGAAATAAATTGTACACTAATAATAAGGCCTCGTAGAAGAACGATTAGCTATAAAAAATTAATAAATGGAAAAAAAAATCTTTAAAGAACGGCAACAACTGAATAATAATGAGGCTAATAACAATCATAATAAAGCTCAATATTTTGTAAAGAGTATAGTGAAAAAAGCAAAACTATAAGTTCTGATGATTTACATGACGGCCGTGGCCCTAAGAAAAGAGAAAAGACAAATATAATAGTTAAGGTAATAAATAATGGATCTTCGGAATTTAATTTAGATGAAGCAGCAGTTGATGTTTTTGAGAGATTAAGATATAAAGATAAGTTTTAGATGCTACTCTAAAAAATTATTAAATGAAATATTTAAAGAAGAAATCATCTTTGAAAAGCATAATGTACACAATAATGAGGTATATTATAAACTGATCCAAAATATGAATCAGAGTTGAGCTAGAAAAAATCTATAAAGATAAAGTTTTAGAACAAAATGCTATAGCCATTAAGATTTACAGAACTATGTGCAACATTATAGTTTCTTGGTTAAATCTTTTCAATAGAATTATAAGATCTATGAGTATTGGTAAATGTATAAAAAGGTATATTCAAGATTATGCTAATTAAAGATGACTCAAAATATGATTCATATAATGAATAGATGGAAGAGAATCGAGGGCATATTTAAAAAATAATATAACTTCATTCTTAATTTTGTTTCATGCTAGAAAAATTATGAAAGTGGTTTTTGGGTTGTAAAAATTAATAGAAAAATAATTTCCATTATTGTAGAATTACTTCAAGTATCAGCAATAAAATCAAATTTGTTTGTATAGGTTATGGACTATACAACGCTGATATTTTTAAAAATGTATTGCACCTATGTCGGACACGTATTACACATTGACACTCGACACTCTCCGACTCTTCTCTGACACAATAAAATATATGTATGAATTTTTCTCAGCCTGAACGCATCCTGGACACACCTCAACACCATTAGACGTGAGCTTAACATGATTTTAAGAAAATGGGACACATGAATTAGAAAAATATAAATATATGTATAGCCTTAATTATTCCTCATATTCAAAACCGTCCTGTCTCGCATCATATTGAACCTCCCACTAACATTTTAAATTGAGCATCGAAGATGCATCCAATATTCATCGAAGGTTCAAAGCTGAGCAATGGTAATTCCCTCTTTGTAATCATATATTTTTTTAAAAATTTTAGTAGATAAGTTGGATTATAAATTGGATGAATTCCTTTAAAACATATTATATCGAATTTTAAAATTTAACTTTCATAAGCATGGAGTTTTATAATAAAAATTAAATTTATGGAGTTAAATATTATTCTTGCATAATTTGTGTTGTGATATTTTTAAATAAAGAATAATTAAAAAATATAAATTTTAGGTTGTTAAATAATTAAATATAAAAGTGTGTTCATGACGTGTCATGTCCTATTTTTTCAATTATGTCATATACCCATATTGTGTCATTTCGTGTCTGTGTCCCGTGCTCGTGCTTCATAGGTTATAGAAATGCTTACAAAGAATATTTAAAGTACAATGAATTGATGAATTCTTTCTGACAATAACATTAGTCTAATTAATCATCCACTAAAATAGACAACAAATTAGAATAATGAAAAAAGATTTCAAAATATAGTGACTAAAAATTAGTAAAAATAAGTCAAGAGTATATGATGTGCAAAATTAATGATGTGATTAATAGTTGTTAATCAACATTATGCGAAGATAAAGTGTTAGTTATGTGTGGTAAGTTTCTTGGGCTTTTTATATAAGAAAATGCAAGTCATATGAGGATATAATTTTCAAAGTTAAAAATTGATGAGTATGATCGATGAATGCTTCAATAATGTACTATAAAAGAATATCATGGAAACTAAAAAGTAATTTTTATAAAACTATAGGTAGAGTGGTAATGCTATATAGATCCAAATATTAGATAATAAATAATTCATTGATATGAAAAACTTCATTTGGTACAACTATATTGTTTGAAAGTAAGGAGAGAATATATTATTGAAAAGTTCTGAAAAGTTAGTGTTGTTCGAGCTATTAATTATATTTGGTAAATATATGCCTGATCGATTGGTTCTAACTCATAAGTTTTATCTTATCTGTTTGGTAGAAAATATCACGTATGTGTTGCCAAAATCTAAAACATTAAAACTAAATCCTGAAACTAACAAAAGTTATCAAAACAAAAAAAAAATTTGATTGATATAAACCTTGCCATAGAATTTTTGCAAAGCTAAATTGTATTGTTTCTCTTGCAAAATAAGACACGAAATTGAAGAAGATAGAGCTGAACAAAAATTTTCACGGAACATTATTGTTATAGAGCTTGAGACATGATGAAAATTTGAAAGAGCTCAAGACGGGCAATCAACTTTAAGGGTTTCCTTCATGCAAAACTGGACAGAGAAGGTTGCAAGAGAGCTCAAACTCTCAGAGAGAGAAACAAGTAGAATCCTCAATTGCAATTCAGAACATCCAAAAGATTGAGCTATCACAAAATTTCATCCCACTCCCCAATCTCCTAGTTTTCCATAAAACTTTACTCACAACAAATTGCACGCATGAGGTTTCTCTCTATTATTTTGGAAATTTTGTTCACCTTTGTAAATAATAAAAAAGCTGAGAATATCAAGTTTATATTCATGCTACCCAAAGGCAAACCACAAATTGCCCATTCTCTAACAAAAGGATGATATTGTGCTCGCATTTCAGAAGTGCTTAAAACAATGTTTTGCATGAGACAACCTATACAAAAAATATATGTATATTTTTTCAAAGCAAAAGTAGATAAAATATAAAAGTCAAATGAAGGTTAACTTGAGTGAGATAAAAATGAGAATGTTAAGATAAATGGATGATAAAACCAACAAAAAGAAACCAAATAATGATTATAATAAGGAAACATGTGGAGATGTACAAGAACAAAAGTGTACTGTTAAATGTGTAGATGATATTAATGTTGGAAGATTGTAAAAGAGAAAGATAGTGCTATGGTAACACGAATAAAAAGTGCTTAAAATGATTTGAGAACAATAGGTTTACACCTTACGAAGTACCAACAAGGAATAAATGAAAATTGAGAATTATAAGCTGGCATCAAATAGTCCTGACAAGGCCACTGCAACCGTTGTTGATAATGCTGAATTCTTCATGAAAATAGACATCTAATGATTTCCAGGTTGGTATGCATAAAGTAAAGGAAGCAAATATCAAAATATCAATGTGAAATATCCAAGAAAATGAACATCTAAAAAGTTCTATGCACCAAAATCACAGTTCCAGAAGAATTGCTTGCAATTCCAAGCTACAATCTGCCATGTTCTGAAGTTCCCTGAAGAACTCTACAAGAAAGATATGCTTAATGGCTATGTTGAAAAAGCATAGAGCAGCAACTATATTGCATAACTGAAACTGGCTAATTAAATGAAAAAAAAAGAAAAGTTTTTTTTTTTTTTCATAATTCAAACGGAATCTTCAAGTCTAGAAAGATTTCCTAATGTGAAAAGGTTTATTCTTATCTTATTTTATTTTTTAAAAAAAGTTAATTAGAATCCACAAACTTTCATTGAAGTATGATATATATGCTTTGCAGATTACTTCTTGTTCATTGAAAATATTTTAGAAACTTGATAGCTTGGTGCAAGGAAAAGGTTGTTCAAGTAAAACATCACAATTTTGGCCATGTGGTGAATAGCATGGAGCATGTCATTTCATTATTCCATATATTGATCACAAAATTAGTTCAAAATTTCACTGGCAGCCAGAAATATGAAAATCACGCAAGGTTATTTCT